GCGATTTAATTGTTTGATATTTAAATTTATGTGCCGTTTGGAATTTTTAAATTCACGCGTCCGTAATGGATCATAACCAAAGTTGAAAGCGATTATTATAGATTTTTACCGGTTTTAACGGTGTGGCGATAATTATATTTTGACACCGCGAAAAGTACTGCAGAGATTCATTGGTGCATTGAGTGAGCATCGTGTGATAATGCCGAAAATGTTATATTTCCACATGGATGGAAACAAATCGTCATAACGGAGTCAATCGGATAGAAAACATGGATTATTCATGTTAAAATGTGTCAAAATTATGTTTTTGGCAAAAAATTGTTTTTTTTGTGTATAGGTGGCGTAACTTATGAAGAAAGATGGTAGAATGGGCTTTTTTAAGTATAATTATTATTTGTAGGTCAAAATTATGATCATGTGTAGAAAATCAGTTGAGTTTGGTAAAATTTAAGTACATAAAATTAAGAATGAGGCCGCGAGCCGATAATTGTTGTAATTATCGCATAAAAAGTTTAATACTCAGCCTATCTGTTATCAGGTGTGTGTAATTATGGATAATTATTGGGTGTAAGTACGAAAAAACCGGAAGCACAAATTAAATTGGATTATAATTATAATTTAGTGATAATATTTAGTTTAAATTGAATTTGTATGTTCGATATTAATATCACAACTCAAATTCATTTAAAACTAAGTAGATAACTAGAGTAAAAATATTCCCACGTATCCAATTCCATTATAAAATGAAAATTAAAATTATTTGAATGATCATAGAATAATATTTTTAATTTTTTAAATTTTGCCTATGTTGGAGTTACGGTATAAGTACTGAACATAGCGTTTCCAATGTTATTTGGTGGTTATAATAGCAATACATTGTTTTTTTTAGTAAAAATAGAAGGTTTTACTCTTTTCTTTAATTGTGCCAATGTTGGAATTCACGTACAAGTATCGAACATAGCAGAATTAATGTTAATTTCAGAGAATAAAGAATGTAATATTACTTTTCTGTTTTCCGAGTAATGATATATCAAAAAACGATTTATTTTTAATTTTTTAAATTTTGCCAATGTTGGAGTTGTGGTATAAGTACCGAACATAGCATTTCTAATGTTATTTGGATGTTATAATAGCAATACATTGGTTTTATCGTAAAAATAAAACTTTTTGCTCTTTTCTTTAATTATGCCAGTGTTGGAGTTACCGTACAAGTACCGAACATAGCTTAACTAATGTTTATTTCATAAAACTATCAGAATAATATTACTTTTTTGTTTTCCGAGTAATTATATATCAAAAAACGTTTTGTTTTTATTTTTTAAATTATGCCAATGTTGGAGTTGCAGTATAAGTACCGAACATAGCACTTTTTACCTTATAAATCAGTAAAAATAAAATTTTACATGAAATTTATATGTTCGATAGTTAAATCACAACTCAAACACACAAAAAACATATCTGGAGTAAAAATATTCCCACGTTACCAAATCTATCACAAGATGACTAAACCGAAAAACGTTTTAATTATCACGGAAGTGTATGTGATCGAGTTTTGACACAATAAATACACAAATACACTCTGAACGACTTGAAGAAAAAAAAACGCTTAATTTACAGCGGATGTGTGAAATTAGACTACGATCAAACAAATTCGCTTTTTATTACTCACGGATTATTTTCACGTAGAAATTTATTAATTAGCGCGTCGCATTTGATTAGCAGCGGCGTAATTAATCGATTAACTGCCGACAAATCGACATTCAGAAGGCGTTTTGGGTGGTATGACAGCCTGAAAGTGATTTACATTCAGTGACAAAACGATAAAGTTATATCTAAACTAAACTATTTTTTTAATATTTATTCCTACGACGAAAAACTTTCATAAGGTCTACTTAAAATGTTCCCACGAAAACTCCAACTCAAACTCAAACTACTGACACATTTTTTATATTCATTACTCGTTTTCGTCCAGTTGGTCAACCGACGAGAACCAGAACACATATTTTATTAAAAGCATTACCTTCCTCAACCAGATTTCGTGCGAGATGATATTCTTGAGACCCATCGCCGGAAACGGACGTATCCTTAATCAGATCATCACAATTTACACTCGCTATCACGCTACACGATAGTAAAATTAAAATTACGATGAGATTTGTTTGATTTTGCATGTTTTTTGTGTTGTAGTGTTGTTTATTAGAGTTTTTTGAGTCAACTGGTCAGTTTTTTAGGTATTGCACCTTTTATAACCTCAATTGAATCAATTCGGTATTGATTAGTTAATCAAGGCACGTTTTCTGTGTTCTAACTTGGCCGCGCTGACATAAAATCGCATCGCCATGTCCGGCGTGTCCGTGAAACGGTAATACGGCTTACATTGCATTGTTTTAGATATTTTTGGCATTTGCAAGCTAAAAAAATGAAATTTTCGCTTCCGTTACATCTCACGACTGTTTTATTGACATGTTTGTATGTTTGTTATTCGTTTAAACAGAAACTATTGAATGAATTTTTATAAATTTTTGTGGAAATATAGTTTAGATGGTGGAAAATAACATAGGCTACTTTTTGTTGTAAAAAATTAACATACAGGGTGTTAAAAAAGGGTTAAAAGTTAATATATACAAAAAATCATATTTTTAGTGCTAAAACTTAAATTCAAAAGGCGCTAAATTAAATTATTAATATTTTTTTATATAAAATTTTTTTTTGAAACTACGCCATTCCACTTAATCCAAATTAATAATTAAATAATTTACATATTATTCCATTTAATCAAAAACTTTTTTGACACTCAAACTCGACAATTTCTAATCTTAACATGAGTTGAAAGTTTAGGTAGGTTAGATGGTAATCTTTTTAATTAATTACACAGTGAATTAAATCGTCGTGCGAGAATTTAATCGAAACAGTTTTTCAGGTTAGGAATTTATGCTCGACACAAAACGCTTACGCTCCGCGATTAATTAAATGCCAGCGCAAAATCAACTGTTAAATGCTTTATAAAGATGTTTAGGGAAGCATATATTTCATATTTAATTACAGTAATCGATGTTTCAAATTAAAAGTGTAAGTTTTTTTGATTCATGGATCTAGTTTTGAATTTAAATCAATTTTATGTAAACGAAATGATAGTGTCGAGCACATCGTTGGATAGAAATTAAATTAAATCCAGAACGATTTACGAAATTACTTTTTAATGATAATTATATACACCTGCGGTTTGTTTCGACATCTTTTACATTAGAAACGAATCGAAAAGTATCAACGCACGCCATCTAGCGATTGAAATATTTATATTCAGGTACTAGCTGTTGCCCGCGACTTCGTTCCGGCAGTGTTTAATAAAAATGTAATTCGTTTTTACTCTCTTGTTCTAGACATACTCGTAGTAAGAGTCAAGTCTATCAATAAGATTAGCAATTTTAATTTAAAGAAATTAATTATATAAAGTTTTGTCAATAATGCACTTCAGCGCGCCATCTCGAATTCAACTATTTAACTATAACTATGATTGAATCTCAATGTCAAATTTTATTCTATAGAAAAGAGCTGTTTTGAGGATTTTCCCGGCAATTATTCGAATTTTTCTCACCTTTTAAACCTTCCCTAGACCTCCACGAATAATTCAAGACCAAGATAAGATAAATCCGTTCAGCCGTTCTCGAGTTTTAGCGAGACTAACGAACAGCAATTCATTTATATATAACATATATAGAATATTGTGTGTGTTAATTATATTCCTCCGCCCAGAAAACGCATTCCAAGAAAAGCGTTGATAATTAATTAAAATTTATACAATCCAAGACTCCAAGTCTGAGTCTTTGTAGATTTTAAGATATAAAAAATATTTTTAATGCTATCTATAAATTATAATCTATATCGTGGTCTCAAACCGGAATTAATACGATTCCCATTAGATAGTTTTAATGGTGTTTATTGGCAAACAAATTGTGCGTCAGGATACCGGCGCTGATTGATTAAAAAATAAAAAGCGAAGAAGAAAAAAAACGCACACATTTCGAATACAAAGCGCGTGGTATTCTCGTGCTCTATATCGTAAATTAACGAGCGTCGTTTATGATATCAAATTTTAAGAGGCGAGCGTGAAAGTCCATTAGAAATAATAATGATGCCATCACGACGCCACGCCGATCTCTTGGAGTCCGCATCAGTCCAGTTCCTAATTGATTTCGGAACATTTATGACATTTTGTTTCCATTTTTATATCTATCAAAGTTTGAGCGACTGTAAAAGTCGATCAAATTATCGATTAAACAAAAAAATTATTGTATATTTATGGTTTGAGTTATTAGCTATAAAATATATAATTTTTTAAATTTTTTTTGGATTTTTTTAGTTTTGCTTATGTTGGAGTTGCGGTACAAGTACCGAACATAGCTTGTTTAATGTTATTTGATCGTTATAATAGTACATTGGTTTTATAGTAAAAATAAAAGTTTTTACTCTTTTCTTTAATTGTGCCAATGTTGGAGTTCACGTACAAGTATCGATCATAGCATAATTAATGTTAGTTTCATGGAAAAAAGAAAGTAATATTATTTTTTCCTCTTTGGGATAATTATACACCAAAAATGTTTTATTGCATTTTTTAAATTTGCCAATGTTGGAGTTGCGGTATAAGTATCGAACATAGCATTTCTAATGTTATTTTATTGCTATAATAACAATACCTTAGTTTCAGCGCAAAAAAATTGAAAGTTTACCTATTTCTTTAATAAAACCAATGCTGGACTTTCCGTACAAGTATCGAACATAGCATAGCCAATGTTACTTCCATAAAATACAGAAATAAATCTTACTTTTCCATTTTCCCAGCAATTATACATGAAATAAAACTTTTTTAATTGTGCCAATGTTGGAGTTGCGGTATATCTTCCGAACATAGCATTTCCAATGCTTTTCTAGCAATACAACATCAAAACATTAATATTTCCTTAATTTTCTATTAATTAAACCTAAAAATACAAAATAAAATAAATACTTTATAATTTTATTTGGTTCGCTTGTTTACATCCATAATAAATAACAATTTACATAAATTAAATTATCGTTTGGTGTTACACAGTTCCACTAAACACTACAAGTAACAGTTGTTCGAAGAAATCGGCAAGAATGAAGTCCCATCAATGTTAAAAACACCCAAAAATTAAACGAATTCCCACACGAAATTAATCTCTGCCCTAGTTTTACAAACAAGTCCAACTTGTTCTCCAACTCATCAACTCCTCACCTTCCTACTTACACTCAATTTAATCTCTATATTACTGAGCAAAAATAAATACAATAAATAAATCAATAAATAAATAAATTAAATAATTTGTACACATACGCAGCACTACATCTACTACAATATTATCATGAAGGTAATCATTATGCAACCAATCATACTCGCGAGGTGCCTAGGCGTCGAGGTAATACAGTGTTCTAACCTATTTCGCAAATATATATTACCGATGCTTCTGATTCTGATAACCATGATTAATATAGAAGACGTGTTCCTCTTCCTTGCGATTGAAGACGTAGTTCCTGACGAGTGAGAACAAGGCCGATGAGAATGCGAATTGATTAATCATGGCGACGAACATAACCATCATTTTCAACGGTGGTATTACCCATGGCATAACCCCAGCCATCAATAAAGCCGGCGCTAGTAAATACGGCAAAAAATCCATCATTTTCTGTTTCATTCCGCGATGACCATCGTCGTCATCATCCTCATCCACTGGGGCAGCTGTAGTTGTATCCTGGCGTTCATCAAGTAAATCAAATCCACTGTATTTTGAATTATTATCACTAATACGCTTCCTCTTCATGTATTCTTCCATGTATTTATTGATATATCGCTTGAGTAGGACTAGGTTATGGTTACGCATCACTTTCGAGTCGAATTCTTCGTAGAATAAGTCCTTCATGCAGGTTAGAGTATTGTTATCCTCTACGCAGTCCCATAATTTTCTTGCCATTGATGTTTTTTCATCACTTTGTGAAGTATCCATGTCATCTATATGATCTTCAGCTCGGTAAGGTTCAGTTGGTTCAAATTCGTAGTCAGCTTCGGCTTCGTCTTCGACTTCATTTTCTTCCATGTCCGGTGTGGATGAGCACGTGACTAGTATGGTACACGTGCACAGGATGAAGAGCTGGAGCGCGAGCGTGCGACGTGCGGCGCGCATTCTGACCGACTGAGGATGGCCGCAGTGAGTTTCTTCGGCAGCGGCAAACGCTTCGCGCTCGGATGCCGACGAAGTTGTTCTGCGTTCTGCCCCAGTTTGTTGCCGGCGCGCGGTCATTCGCTGGATAACTGGCTGAACTTGTATATATGTGTGAATGTACTTGTATGTATGTACATATTTGAAAAGAAACTGTAGATGACGATAGATGTTGTATCGATGGTGAATCTGGTCAATCTGTGTCTTAATTTACAGTATCATAACTTGTTATGTGTGTTTTTGCGAAACAAGTGCAAAAATAGCTTAATTTTTGATTTTTTTGGATTTTTTTGTTAGATACTTAAATTAATTAATTAATAACGTATTTGGTATGATTTTAAAGTTATAAAGTGTTAATATTACTTTTTCAGTTGCGGGGTGTATACCGGAAGTCAAATTTTCGCAAAATTTAAACAAAAATAGCTTAAAATATTTATTTTTACGACGAAAGTATTGCATTGCTATTGCAAGAACAAAATTACATTTGATATGTTATGTTCTGTAGTTATACCGCTACTCCAACATTGGCATAATTAAAGAAAATAACAAAAACTTTTATTTTTACTATAAAATCAATGTATTGTTATTATACCTAACAAATAACATTGGAAATGCTATGTTCTGTACTTATACTGCAACTCCAACATTGGCATAATTAAAGAAAATAGCAAAAACTTTCATTTTACTATAAAACCAATATATTGCTATTGTGTCGATAGAATAACATTAGATATGCTATGTTCGATACTTGTACCACAACTCCAACATTAGCAAAATTTAAAAAATTAAATAAAAATTAAAATGAGAAAAGGATTATGATTTAGGCACGGTTTAATATCAATTTTAAGGGCTGAAATGGGTCTCATATTTTTTTTTAGGTCAAAATCTAAAAGTTTGGGGGGCGTCTGAAAAATAAAATCCATTTTGGGAAATAACGGACACCCTAATAATTATGCTATGTTCGGTTCTTGTACGGTAACTCCAACATTGGCATAATGAAAGAAAAGAGCAAAAACTCTTATTTTTACTATAAAACCAATGTATTCCTATTCTATCGATAGAATAACATTAGCTAAGCTATGTTCGATACTTATACCGCAACTACAACATTGTCCAAGTTGAAAAAAACTAAAAATTCATTTAATAATTCAAACAATACATAAAAATTACTTTTAAAGTTGTAATTTTTATAATACATACTCAAATTAAGTTGATATTTCATGCGAACTTATAGTTTCATTACCGAAAAGGTGTTGAAGTATTGTGTAATCTACAATGAATAATTTAAATCATAATTATTTGACGGTGTATTGTCTAACAGTCAATAGTGATTTGTTCAGCTAGGTATCGTCCGGCGTTTTACGCTTATTTACGATTACTTCAACAGTTAGAGAACAGTTCAGATTTGGGCAATTTTGACAAGACAACAGTAGTGATCGACCATGCGGAATCAGACATCAAATTTTATGTTTCGTGAAGTTATTATTAACGTGTTAGGTTATTCAAATTTCAAATTTAAATATTTACTTAATATAAACTGTTAAATCATTAAACTCGTGTTTTATTTGTACTCGTATGTTAGGCAATTATTGTGATTAATTGTTTAAAATATAATTTTTACTAAAAACATTGATTTTCAGTTTTAGAACTTTTAAAAACTGAAGAAAAGAAAAAACAGTAAATATTTTATATTTATATATTCTTTGACATGTTTAAATTATTATAATTAACAGTTAGAGAGAAAACAAAAGATATGATGAGAAAAATGTTTGTGTATATAATTATGCTCATCATTAATTAAGTTTTAAATGTTAATAAAGCGCAAATTTAAAGATTCTCACTCCTTGTAAAGAAAATATGTCACTGTTAGTGTGTTTAAAGATAATTGTATTCATTATGAGGTCAATTAGTAAAAAATATATAATATTTACTAATATAAGAAGAATCATTGAATGATTAAATGTAGTGTTACAAGAATTCAATTTTTATGACACATGCGTCATGTAATCACCGATTATCGATCGATGATATGAATTTACGAGAATTGAAATGCATGGATATGAATAATATGTGGCTGGGACACATTCAGTGATAGTGCCGCGTTGATATCAAATGACTAACGATTAGAAGCACAATCGTGAATGTTTTCCTGTAATTATTGCAACTAGAATCATTATTTGCATCCGCTACTGGATAAATATTAATGAATAATTAATTAATTTTACATTATTTCTTTATGGTTTATAAAATTATTTGTGATATCCCTACTAATATTATAAATGCGAAAGTCCTGATGTTTGTTACACTTTCACGCAAAAACTACTTAACCGATTATAATGAAAATTTGTACACATATTTTTAGTGGTCCCCGAATGGTTATAGGCTACTTTTTATTTAATAAAAAAAATTATTTTTGAAATAAAATAAAGAAATTGTTTAGCCAATAATACCTCAGCATCTGGCTATTTGACAACTTTAACGCCATCTAGCATTCCAGCAATGAAGCTCAAACCTAAGTACTATAGCACCATCACACTGTATTATCACACTGTATTACCGACAGCTAAGTCAACATCAAATCCAATTGACTACACTATGGAGACTGTACACTATACTTCCATAGACTCTGCTTTCAGCCATTTTAAACTTCCCGCCATTCTACTTCATTGTTATTTCTTCTGTGACTACAAACGCGTACGGAAGCAACTTCATTATTTTAGATATTCGCGAGCGAAAATGCGGGTTAAAGCTAGCATTCTTATATATTTGTAATTTTTACTTTTACTATTAGTATATAAATAGAATAATTTGTTTCAATTTGTTAATTATAAATTATATATTTATTGAAAAGAATGCAGAATAACAATAGAATGAACATTTTGTGCAGGTAAACAAACTTATCCGCTGCACAAAATCGCGTGATTTTACACGAACACGATGTGCACTCACTGATACACATGCACAATGCAACAAAATCCACGCTTAGAATTAAGTGCAAAGATCTGCATCCTAGCGTCATCTATGCACGATTTATACAGTTATATTTAGATAACAAGATACGACGATTTGCGATATCACACAGCAAGGTGTACGACAACAAACATGAATAAATATTAAATTTCTCACTTTCTGATGGAAATGTTGACAAATGGACAATACTGATGTGTTTAAGTTGAATTATATTCATTAAGAATACAATTAGTAAATAGTAATGAGATAATACTTCAATATACGTTGATAATTGATCCAAATATTTGTTCTTATCATTTATAATTCTTCTTAAAATATACTTTTCCAATTTATGTGTAAATTATATTCATTTGTGAAATAAATTGTGAAATAAATGATTGATTTTCAATCAGAATAACAAAATGTAATGTTGTGAATCTCTTTCAAGCAATTCGCGAGTGTAAGAAATATTTCTTTGTATGTAAACAACTTTATCATCTGCACAAAACCGCGTGATCTCACACGGACAAGATTTGCACTCACTACTACATACAACCAAACAATTTTATTGATGATTTAAAGCAAATTTAAGGCAAATAAGTGAATCCTAGCGTCATCTCGTGAACATTTTTGGCGCTACGTTTATTAAATTTAAAACTACGTAATTCTGATAATCTCCAAACTTGTCTCAATTGTTTAATCACAATAAAAATACTCTACTCAACAATTCGTTGTATATAATCAACAAACTAAAAATTTGGAAGCTAAAATTCCTAATTTATCAAAGAGAACAAAGAAAATTTAATTATTGTATTGTGTACAAATATTTATACTTCATAATAATTTAAATAATAAAATTTCTGAATTATTTAATACCAATTTACCCATAAAATAATATTTATTCATAACAGAATTGAGAAATATTTATTTGTATTTATAAAATGCATCTTCGATTCTTTCGTATAAAGAATTCAACATGTTTCAACAAGTCGAGAAGATAATCTTGCTATCTTGATATTGGCAGGTAAACAAACAAACGATTTGCTGCACAAAATCGCGTGATCTCACACGGACACGGTGTGCACTCTCTACCACAAACAAAGTATATTTAATGCAAAAATCTGCATCCTAGTGTCATCTATGCCCAATTTATAGAGTTATATTTAGATAAACAAGATACGACGATTCGCGATATCACACAGCAAGGTGTGCATCAACAAACATGAATGTATTATAATAAAATTAAATATCATCTTTTCTGATTGAAAAATATGACAATACTGTACTGATTCAATTGAATTGTATTCATTAAGAATACATTTAGTAAATAATCATACAATATTAAATTAATAAGTAAATCATTTATCAAAATATTTGTTCTTATCATTTATAGTTCTTACTAAAATCTACTTTTTTAATTTATATGTGAATTATATTCATTTGTGAAATAAAATGTGAAATAAATGATTGAATTTCATGGAGAATAACATGTTGTAACGTTGTGAATCTGTTTCAGGCAATTCGCGAGTGCAAAAAACCTTTCTTTTGTATGTTAACAACTTTATCTTCAGCACAAAATCGCGTGATCTCACACGGACACGATGTGCACTCTCTACCACAAAGAAAGCACATTTAATGCAAAGAAGTGCATCTATGTGCCATCTATGCTGAAACTATAAAGTTATATTTAGATATATTGCACTCACTAACAGCAACAATCATTTTCTCATTTCTAGATTGAAAGACATACTACTGTTGCAGTGTTTAAACTAAATCATATTCATTATGAACACAATTAGTAAATAATAAGATAAAAATTACATTAATAAGTTAATAATTTATCAAATTATTCCTTGTAATGTTTTATAATCATGCTTATAATATATTTTTACCAGATATTTATAAATTTTATTTATTTATAAGCAAATTCATAAAATATTACTTAAATTGAATAGAAAATGTTCTAGTAAATTGCAATGTTGTGTTGTTAAGATGTAATAGACACTCCAAACACAAAAAACGTTGCTTTGTATATAAACATGTATTAGAATCAATATAAAATGATTAGTTATATTCATGAAAGAAATGAAGAATATTTGCTTAAATTCACGATGCAAATATAATAAACAGCAACGGTGTGTTTTGATTCCACGAAATAAAGATTCGATACCTGCAGGTAAACAAACTTATCTCTTGCACAAAATCGCGTGATCTCACATGAACACGGCGTGCACTCTCTACCACATACAAGCAATATTTAATACCGAAAAGTGCATCGTAACGGCATTTATGCTCAAATCAAAGACTTATATTCAGATAAGATTAATTCATATACCTGCGTGCACAAGGCCACACCTGACTAAGTTTAACTCCCCAAAGCAAATAAGCAAATATTTAATGCAAATAGTGCATCCTAGCGCCATCTTACCATAAATCATCCCACTTGACATTTAAATTCAAAACAAATCAATCAAATCAAACTCACAAATTAAATTTTAAAATCGCAACCCCAAAATTCCAAAAAACAATGCCTAGAGTATCTCTAAACATTACCCCAAGTGAAACCGCACACGCCAAGACCCGAAAATGGCGAAAAGCATCAGTTTATGTCTTAAAAGCAATACAAATGGTGACCAAACCACTTATATTAACCCATCAATCAAGTATTTAACACTTATTTCAATACGTTTTAGCTTATTGCAATCATAACAATCATTGTAATCCGTCTCCACTCCTACTATTACATCTATTCCCTCGGAGTGATCCTTGCCATCACAAATCTCATCACAAATATATCAGTTATCGCAATGGCGATCGCCGAAGACTTCTCCCGCTACTTAGACATAGCAAACATGTGGGTCCTCCTAATGCTCTACATATCAACATGCATCTTATGGTTCTTGGAGTATTTTTACCTAAATGACCAACGAACATTCGTGCTGGTTCTGGCCGGACTAGACTTGACAGTAATCCTCATGTTCCTCCTAGACTTTGGCGTGCATTATGTACAAATCGACAAAGGAGAAGAAGAAATCTTTAAACAAGTACATCCTGTGGGACACGAACAAATCGAACACCTTAAAGACACTAACTAAATGCTAAAACATAACAAAATTATAATTAAAGCATATTTCCGTATATATTTTGTAATTTGTCGAATATTTTCGTTTATACTTCTCTGTCGCTTTATACAATTAAATAATCTCTATAACATTTTGTTTCAGTATCACACACGCGCACACATACCAACAATATCCGCTAGTTTGTTTTGTTTTACAATAGTAAAAATCATATATACCTAATAAATGACAAGACACAATAGGATGATTTGATCCACGTTGCTGCTTGGAAAACATCTGTAGACTAAAAGTTAATAAATAAAAAAACAACAACAATTTAAACTTGAATCAATTTTGCAATAAATTCAAGTCTGTGAGCTTGGAAAACTCAAGCTAATGCCGACGCCGGCAGCGAGCTGTGCTTCGGCTTCATTTTATTCACGAATATCTTAATGCAGCCATTGAAATCGGCTGATATCAGCACATACCCACCGCATCCTTTATCACGCTGCTCAATAATCGGATCCTTTTCTTTTTCATCCTGTTCGCCATTACTATTATTATCACCTTCGCGTAACATTTCAATAATATTATCTGGATTGGGCGCAAAGATGGCGCAAGTGACTACGGCGTTATGCGCTTTGATCGCTTCCCAGAAATCATTGCGATCGCGTCGCAAAGACTTTGTATAATCATGGCTGGTCTTCCAGATGTAAATGTCACGATTCTCTGAACCACTGACGACGTATTTACCGTCGTGGCTGAAGGATGCTTTGATTTGACTGCTCACATTCGCATAACCTTTGTATTTACACGACAGACTCAAATCGCGCAGGTCATACAGGCGTATACGACTATCATTGGAAGTAACTAAGATTTTATCTTCGCCAGGCATCGGTTCAATACCGCTGATTTTCCTACCGGTTGCATTACGCCCACGTGTTGATCGCACGTGGATTTGTGTATGATACTTCAATTGATCAGTGTTGTAAAAAATACAGCGGCCATCATAGGAACCAATGACAGCGAATTTACCATTTTGACAGAAATTCGCAGCGGTTATCAATTTGGTCGTACCTTCAATCTCATTCCAAACTGCAACCTAATACAAAATATTAATACAACAACAATAAAACTTATAAAAACAAACATAACCTATAAATATAAATGTCCTAACCTTTTTATCCGGAATATTCCAGAGGCGAATCTTTCCATCTAAACTACCACTCAAAAAGTACCTGTCATCTTTCGGGTGGAAAGCAATAGCTGTAACAAAATCAATGTGCTGGAAGCAACACAGACACTCTTTGCGTGAAATGTGCCAGAGGCGCACAGTCTTATCCATTGACGAAGACAGAATAAAGTAGGTTTTCGACCAGGACACATCCAGCAAGTCACTGGTGTGTCCTGAGTATGTGCAAAATGGACGCGGCATGAAGACAAACTTTGAGGCGTCCTCAGCGTTCAGCATATCGGCCGTGCACGTTGATGTTTCACCCGAATGGTGAGAGACTAGTGATTCTTGTGATGGCGTCGGGGATACTTTATCCGCATTATATTTAGTACGCATATCCTGAAAAATACAAAAAACATTATAAAAAATCATTCAAAAAAAAAAAAATTATAATAAACCTGAAAATATGCAAAGTGTTCCTTGATAATCCATATCCTCAAGACCCGATCCTGCCCGGCGGTGGCCATCAACCTCCCACAATTGGAAAACTTCATGCACCAAATCGGCCCGACATGTTCATTATTCAACTCTTGCACATGCTGCATCCTTTCGAAATCATACGGCCCTTTATGACTATTCGCCGCCTTCAACTTAATATTATGCTCGCCGGGATGCACCTCGTCCAACATATCCACAACTTCTTCCTTGTGTCGTGCATGACTCACCTCCTGCGCGATACTCTTCGCCTTATGCATTGTTTTCTTCACAGTCGAACCCAAAAACTTCTTTATCTTAGCAGTGCGCTTGCGCATCCTACCAACGTCAATCTCCACATCATCATCGGCATCCTGTTGATTATCCAGCTTCTTCATACTCATAATACTCTCATCGTCACTCTCCTTATCCTTATCCATGCTGGAACTGCTCACGTACTCGGAAGTCAATCGCATGATATGCAAAGACAATGGATTTATACATTGTGGTAGTTTATCCTCAGCTACACTCAACGGGACGCGTTCGCCAGTGTCTAGATTCAACACGGTTACCTGCTGGAGTATTTCGTAGTCAGTCAAATGTTTGCCGGAGTCTGTGCGTGTCCGTACGTGAATATCCATACCTTTGAGCATGTTTTCATCACCGGCGGATTTCCGCCTCTCTCGCGCGTTGCGTTTATTTACATTGCGATGCGGCCCGAGTGAGTAATGCCCCATTGAGCTGCGATTTGTCGAACCCCGTGAGGCTTTCTCTTTATCTTTTGTATTTTTACCGTCTTTATCCGCTTCGATACTCAGGACATCTTGCGGTTTGACTACGAACTTACCTTTGGTGACTTCTCGAATATCCAAACCATGCACGGATTTAATCGTGCTGGATTTTGAATTATTAGACATGGAAATATCCACTCCGCTTAAAACAGAGCCGAAAACAGAACTGGTAGATGGTGTGATTGGAAGTGATGCGGCTTTGTTCTTTTTCTTGCGTCGCGGAGGTGCAACCGGCGCATCATCCGATAAACTTTTCACGACAGAGCTTTTCGTGCTCGCGATTACATCCGGTTCCTGTAGAGTTACACCGGATTCAACTTCCACTTCAGTTGTGGTGGTTACCGTTGATGTGGCAAGCGTAGCAGTGCTTGGATATTGTGATGTTTCTTTTGAGCTAGGCGTTGAAGAACTTACGGAACTGGTGGAAAGTGCTGAGTTTGATGATTGTGCGCATTCGGCTGCCGGACCGTTGATTGGCCGGCCAACACGACCAATGGAATTAATACTTTGTATGCTTACAGTGTCCAATTCAATCACCCGGAAGGGATGCGTGGTTTTGTTGGAGTTTGAGGAAGCATAGACACCCTCAATGGATGATGTCTGACTGTTGGGTGGTGTTGGATTCGACGGTGTATCTTCATCGTCATTTTGGAGTTTTTGACGTAGTTCTTTGAATTTCCGCCGTCCGCCACCCAAAACTGCTTTTGGTGCAATGAAATTCGCTTCTATTTTCGGTGTGGATGATGACGCTTGTGATTCCTCTGGTTTGGGAACCACGGAGACGTTCGGTTCGGAGCTCGCACGATGTGTGAGGCTGTCGCGTGAAGACTTGCGGATTTTTCTAGAAGCAAATTCGAATCAAGTTAACCGCACGCCATTTGTTTTCGTCAATAAACAACTTTTGTTTCAGTCACAGCGCAGTCAAAGCAGATCTGAAGTGCGTTGATAATCTTGTCAGGTGAGTGTTTTTTTGCGTAAGATAATTAAGAATTTGATAATTATGTGAGCGGATAAGCGAATTTGTGTACCTTGAGCCATGAATGGGTGTAATATCCTCGGCGTCGTAGAACTTCTCGGAGTCGCTGTCGCTCGACATTTTCGGGCTCGGGTGGAAGCAGTTTTCATCTCGGCATGCTCGCACTGATTCAAACTTGTTCGATTAATTAATTATTTAGGAAAATATGCTGCAGTCCTGCGACAGATGAAAATGTTGTGAGCTGTCAATGAAATTAATCTTGAAATATAGGCAACCCAAATTACTAATCCAAACTGTCAAACGTCGACATTTTAAATTTCAGTTTTAATACACTGAATGATTGTGCAGATTTTAAGCAGAATTATATTAATATTTTGTACATTATTAAATGATTTAAATTTTGTGTGATTGATGATAGATAAGCATTGGTGATATGAACACAAGGTGGTCGTTTTCGAGTTCGCCGCCGTCGTCGCAGTGGATGGGCGGCGCTGCAGGCGCCGTCACCGGCGGCTGTGGCGCTGTAAGCGGCACGTCGCGATCACTCCTCACGGCCGCCCGCTGCTCCGCCAGGAACACATACAACATGGACGACTTGGTGGTAGAAGTATGCGGCGAAAACGGTGCCCTTTATAAGGTTTGTATCCGTCGAAGTATACGACGCGCGGCGTGCGGTTGTGGTGCATCGGGTGACGACGTCAATAAAATACGTGCGCGTTCGACTCGCTTGGATTGTGCGCTCGTAGTTTGCCGGCAATTGCAGCGGGGACGCCATGGCGATGCGTTCGGCGCAGGGCGTGAATGAAATCCGCACGCGGTGGATACACGCGCACACCCCAGGCTACAACTCACAATCGCCGATCGTGTGTGTGCAGAAATCTCAACGAAAATGTGGGCGTCACTCGCGGGGGTTCACACCTGAGTGGTGTGTCATTTTCACACCACCCAAGGCACTCAGGGGCTGAGGTTATGTCTTTTTCCATGGGGGGCTCATGGGGTACCAGTTTGTCAGTCAGCCCAATGCATCACAACTTTTATTTTCGTTGATTTTGTGTTATTATCTATGTAATCCATTGTTTTTTAGGCATACATATTAGATGTGTTTGAGGAGGATGCATTAGTTCAATTTGAAGATGGGTAAGTTGGATTTGTTTTTGTTTGAATCACTTGCAACATATCTGTGATACTGTTTGTTGAATGTTTTTTGTCACTAGATGGCAACCGGATTCCAAATTTCTATACTCGCGTCTCAAATTTCCGCCAAAACCCGACCCAAGTCCAGAGTTTCTTGAGAATCAGGAGGTGGAGGTGTATTCTAGCTCTGGTGGTAATTCACAAGATGCCTGTGGATGGTGGAAGAGCAAAATTAAGGTAAATTACCCCAAAAATTTTCCATAATCATTAAATATGTTATAAGTAACTTATAACGGTCTAAAGTTTAATTTTTTCATTTTTTGACAATTGCAGATGATGAAGGGTGATTTTTACGTCCTCGAATATATAGGCTGGCAAAACTCATTCACCGAAATCGTCAGCAGCGAACGCATCCGACACAAGAACACCAACCCGCCGCTGGAGAGAGCAATGTTTCACAAGTTTGAGATTGAAGTTCCTGAAGACGTCCGAGAGTAGTAAGTTGCCTATATTACCCACTCACAAAACACCAATCAATCTCTAATTTTTTTTAATATTCGTAGTGCAAAAGTAGAAAACGCTCACAAAGAGTTTCAAAAAGCGATCGGCGCCGGCGTGATTCGCTACAATCCTGAAACCTGCATGCTGGTGGTGATCTCCACGTGCGAATCGAGCAAGAAGCGCTCGTCGCTGCTGCAAGAGATGCACTTTCGCAGCCTGCAGCAAAAGGTGCTGCTGCTCAAGCGCACCGAAGAGGCAGCGCGCCAATTGGAGAACACGAAACTCTCGACGACTGGCGGGTGAGTGTCATTTTTGCTGCATATATTGTTTACGCCAGTCATCATCATTTACATCAACTAATTAATTAATAAATAACTTCATTAGCGCTATCCCGCGAATATCCCGCAAGCAATGATTTTTGTTTTGCACATTCATTGGTTAGGATTTTTTAAACGAGGACAGGACCAGAGTGTTTTAAGCGGGGGGCGCGTGCGCGTGAGTGCTGGGGGATGTTTGACATGTTGTTTTGTTTTTTTCTTTCAGCAAGTCATTTAAGCCCATGTATCAGCGTGTCTCAAATTTCGAGGCAGCTCGTGCGGGCTCCAGGTGAGCACAATCAACAATACTCGCCGTGTTTTTTTAAACTACACTTTATCTCTTTTTTTTAATTTAGTTTTTTTTATTTAAATAGAAAATTTGGTGGCATAGGTGTGGAATGTTTTTGTTGTTGATTTTTTGAAGTTGAGTTGAATTTTTCTCTGCGTCCTGGCTGCATGTATTATAAAATGTGTTCATCAACATTTAATTTTTTTAATCATTAACACTTTGCATGTAATTGTATATGTATCATATTGCCATGGACTTGAGTGGAGTTAAAAGTAAAGCACACATGCATGTCTTACTTTTTTATATAATTTAAGTTTTTATTTTTTTAATTATTTATAAAATGTAATATAATGTGTGTGTTTGTCTTGCAGATATTCGGATGAGTTTAACGTGCGTGAAGATCTGATGGGTCTGGCGATTGGCGCGCATGGCGTGAACATTCAGCAGGCACGCAAGGTGGACGGCGTGACGAACATTGAGCTGGAGGAGAACTCGTGCACGTTCAAGATCTATGGCGACAGCGACGAGGCTGTGAAAAAGGCGCGCGCCATGCTGGAGTACAGCGAAGAATCGCTGCAGGTGCCGCGCACGCTCGTCGGCAAAGTGATTGGTAAGAATGGCCGGATCATTCAGGAAATTGTCGACAAAAGCGGCGTGGTGCGGGTGAAAATTGAAGGTGATAATGAGCCGCAGCCGACGATTCCGCGCGAAGAGGGCCAGGTGCCGTTTGTATTCGTTGGAACCGTCGAAAGCATAGCTAACGCGAAAGTTTTACTCGAGTATCACTTAGCTCACTTAAAGGTAAATACAAATTTAATCCAATTTTAAATTTTAATATTTATTATTATTATTAATCTCATTAGGAAGTGGAACAATTAAGACAAGAAAAGTCTGAGATCGACCAGCAGCTACGTAGTATCCAGGGCTCAACGATGGGCTCCATGCAATCGCTGTCGATGTCGAGGCGAAGCGACCGCGGCGGCTACAATTCGGACATGGACGGAGGTCGTGGCCGAGGGCAAATGCGCGGACGTGGTGGACGCGGGCGCGGCGACCGAGGCCGTCACGATCGCTACAACACCGGTACTATTTCAAACTCGCATGATTACGATAATAATGTAACCACCAACGGGAGGCCGTCGAGGAGTGCGAACTCAAGAGGCAATGCGGCTGGGGCTGGCGGTGGTGGGAATAGCGGCGGCGGAGGACGTTCGTATGGACGTGCACCACCGCCAGCGAAAACTCATCGAATGATAGATCTCTGAAAAACTCCGACGGCGGTGGAGGTAGAGAGAAATCCAGCCGCAAAGCGGCTGTTGATGCCGCCGGCGGCGGCGATAGAGAACAGAAGTGAAAAAAAAAGAAAAACACACACAAAAAACACTGTTATTGTTGTTTCATTACAAACACAAAAAAAGCGCGTGTGCCTCTCGGCTTTATGCAATTAATATTCACACTTTAAACAAAACACAACACATTTTGCATAAAGCCCGAGTGAGCATATTTTGCTACACTGACTGACCCGGCTTGCGACACAATATTTACGATGAGGATACTTAACACACATACACTGAAAATAATATGAGAATGAGAATACGATCCGAACAATCATTAATATGCGTTTTTGTTTTTTTAATTTTTGCGTTTTTTATTTTGTGAATTGATTTGGTTTTACGCATTTTTAATGCGCACGCATTCACTGCGAGGAGGGCGGAGATTATTTCAATTGGAATTTCGTTTTTGTTTTTATCTATTTCCGCCTCTCGTTGAATGCTCTCTTGATTTTGACGTACCATCCGAGCTTGAGAAACCTTTGTTGAATAATGAAAGGATACTGCGAGTTTTAGGACTTGAAATATATGAGAAAACAAAAAGAACGACGATTACACTACTACTACAAGCTGTATCTTATTGTGAAACGAGACTTTTTTGACTTAGTAACAATAATATTGATATAGTAACATGTTGTTTTTGTTTTCGATACATTTCACATCCTCTTTTGAATTTTGAACAAAGGTTTTCTCGCGTTTGTGAACGAAGAAAAGTTTTTAAGTAATTTGTGTGTTTTTGTTAGGTTCGAGACATCAAACACCTGATACGACTGAGGAGCGCGTTGGGGATTTACCGCCCCGACAACAATACGGGTCTTCCAGGGGCGGCGGGCGTAATCGTCGTGATCGACGCGATGAACGGCGCAGGACGACAGACGATGAGGAAACCGTGCTTGATAGTCAGGACCATTCGGGCGCTGATCGAGGTAAAGTTCAATTTTAACTCTTTAGTTTTAGTTGGTTTCATCATTGGCATGACGTGAATATTTAGAATCGGTGTCGAGCGCTGATTTATCGTGGTGTTCGGGTACGGCTGGCCGACGAAGATGGCGGCGTAAACGTCATTTCCACGACGGTATGTGCTCATCATTTGTTTTTGCGCATAAAACAAATGCTTTACGTGTTGTATGGGATTTTAACACATTTTTTGTGTTTTTTTGTTGTTGTTGGGAGTTGTGATGTTAATGGTTGGATTGTTTGTGGTTTCAGTTCACAATCATCAGAGTGGTGGTGCAGGCGGTGGCGGTGGTAGTGATGTGCATCACATGTCGAATAATGGCGACGCGCCACCACAGCACGCCAAGCCGCACGCATCCGGTAAATCGCGAGGGAATCGCGGCACGTCGCGCCGAAATGAGCCGAAACCCGCTGAGGAATTGGTCAACGGCACGCCGGCTTAGGACGACGACGCATCCCCCATGATCATCATCATCCGCTCTCGATTTCTTCACACACCGTTTTATTATTTATATATTTGTGTGTATGTTGTTCTGTATAAAGATGGCCGACGCGCAACAATGGCCGCCATTTTGTATTCGATTTCTATCAGCCGGCAGAGAAACTTTTCTTTTTCGCATTACTCTTTTGTTCAGTGCCAATTTTCGTTTTCGTTTCCTTGGAAGAAAAAACTCAAACGCTTGTTGTTTTTAGTGTATTAATTATTATTATTTATTACTTTTGGTCGTTTGTGATTTGCTTTTGTGTTTGTTGGTTATTTCGAATCGAAGGCTGATAGAGATACTAAATCAAATGTATTTGTTCGTAATGAGCAACTGAATGAGACTGCAAATTGTAAAACACGAGAAGCGCCTGCAGTAACTTTAAATAACGATTTAATAACAAACATGTAATATGCAAACACAAGACTGTGCAGAAACCCCCTCGCCTGCCTCCCGCCGCCCCACACACACGTGGGGGCGGCCTTTTTTCATGGTTTTCATTTAACGAATCGTCAAACACAAACTAGTATAATATAAGCGAGGCGTGTGTGGATGAGCTTGTTGCGCAAAACGATAGGCAAACTAAAACCAAAATGCAAACACACTCGTCGTGATGAAACAAGTTGTGAGTTGTGAGTAAATTTTCTAATCTTGGAATACAATCGATGTCGTTTTCAAACTTCTTATAGTAAAATAGCGCACAGTTTTGGCATTTTCGGCGCCATCTTGAAACCAACCGAAACAGATATTGAGTTTGAGTCTTTTTGGAGAAAAAACACACACAACTTAATTAATTGCCATCCGTAAACTTAATCGTAATGTTTCTTTAATAATGTATCGATTATTTATTTCGTTTCCTTCTCTTTTTTTTATATTCTAGTTTATAAATATTAAAGCTAAAACACCTGTTTGTTTTTTCGTACGTAATTTTCTTGTTTTGATGGATTCCGGCGTGCTTGTTGGGTATGATTGATTCGTTTGACTCGATGAAGGTGCTCTGCGTTCAATTAAAATGAGAGTTGCAGAAGGGGAGGTTTTCTAGGATAAACAAAATGTTGAACCACAAATTTAAAACAAATGAGATGAATATTGTGATTGTGGGAGAGGATTTGTTTCGCTAATGTATTACATACATACTATATGAGAATGGATTATTGTAAACACACGATTTTGCATTAAATTAACAATAGATTTTGCGCAATTTATCTTTTATTGCCGTGCAATTGACCTCAACATTCTAGTTGGTCCCAAATAAATCATCTAAATTAAATAACGCGGGTCTTCTATAGGCAACCAAGTATACAGCAAAGTAAAACCAAAAATTTATCATAATATTTGTATAATTACATTAGAAATAAACAAAAAGGTCTAAAATATACTATTTAAATGATAAATCAATTAAATTATTACTATTTGACACGGTTTTGTGTGTCATAACAATTAAAAACTGTTTAAATTTCAAATTAAATTAATTTAGTGTACTTACACTCCGCCAGATGTCGCTAGCATGCTGTTTACAGCATAAAAATCACTCACTATCTCTCAATCAACAAAAAAGACTTCAAACAAACAACACAGTGCAAAACATATCAAAAACCAGTATTAAACAATCTTCAATCGTGAATAAACGTGTTTTAACTCGAATATATCCGTGTAAAGACAATCTGTGCATCAAAATGTCCGACGCAATCACTTTCTACGTATAAAAGTAAGTTTTATTTAATATTTACTACAACTATTTACAATTTTACTAATGTTCCTATTGAGATTCACCGCAGTGCAAAAACGATTGCACAAAAGAATCACAACAAGAAAACACGCATTTAGAAGCGTTTATACCGCATTTAGCACCCGTTTTCGGGCGTCTCAATGCCCACGGCGGCTAATGTAAGGGTTAATCCATGAATGCGCTGAATGCAGCGCATTGTGTAAGCGTGAGGTGCGTGTAAAACATCCGCAACGATCCGCAACCACAAAACGCTAAGCGGTAGGCGCGGTACACACGCAAAGATCGACGGATATCTTGTCGGCAATCCTTTCAAACGTTTTTTTAAACACGGATCATCACACACCGTAGAAAATCGAAAATATTTTCGTAGGTGTACGGTGTGATATTGGTATTGATACGAAGTCAAGCGTAATTCATGAGTTTCTATTTCTATTGTGTGTGAAGCAGTTTTTTATTCGGGTTAAGAAATTCGCCAGAGATTTGCCAGCGCACGATTTGATATTTATGGCTTTATACGCAGCGACTTTCAGGCTGTTTGCACATGTTGAATCCGCCGAGAGACGCACAAAGCCGTCCCGCGTTGCGGCGTCGGCGTCGAGAGAATCACTTCCTCGGCACGTACTCACATATGTTGCTTCCGTGAGCAACAAGTGTCCATACTATACATCTACCTACATCTAAACTCGAAACTTGCAGTCTAAACATTTTTGTGTCCTGTTTTGTCCACCTGGGGTCAATAGAATCGTCTTATTTGCGAATTATTGCAAAATATTGTGTCTCTTTGTCGGTGCGCTTGATTACACTCCACAGACACTTCACAAAAAGCAAAGTAGCAGTTCCCTGAAGTCGAAGAATATCCACTTCATCTCTCGTAGAAGAAGAAGAGATACTTTTTGTGTTGTGTTATGTTGAAAACACACAATATCACCGGTGATCATCAGCACCCTTGAAAGGGTTTCATATGCGTGCGTATTACATGTTTGCAAACTTTGGAAACAAGCTGTGCATTGAATACCTACGGATTAGTAGATATTAGACGCCGACACCGCCACTGATCCGAGAAGAGATTACGTTTTACGTGTATTTTAAAGACTTATAGATTTGCAAAGTGTTGAAGCATGTAACTAGTATCCAAACAACGCAATCTTTTAAATTTTTAAATTTTGCATGTTTTTATTCTAAAAATTAACCAAATTTTAGGGTTATGTTGATATGCAACCAGTTATACATGCAAAAAAATGTGAAATTGTTGAAATTGTCGAATTTCTTCAAAAATTCTTCGAAATTGCGTCACAAAAAGTGTTTGTGAATGATGCGGGGGTTGTATTGGTTGCTTTTGAGGGCGAAAACCGAAATGCACCCGGGTGCGCGCCACCAAACGCTCGAAAAACGGCAGATGTGTGCTGATATAAACCATACGTTAATGTAATTTCGCTTCGCTCGTTTCTGGGGCGCTTTTCCTGCTTTTCGGAAATCCACAAACGATGAAACACGTCAAACTGGTTGGAATTCACGTTGTTTAACCCGTAACACACCAGCGGGTCTATAAATTACGCCTGAAAATTGAAATAATTCAAAATTACCAACTGACGCTTTGCGAAATTAAAAAACATAAAAAGGGTTAAATTAACGAATCACATGAAAGTACACCACATCACCAATCCACGTTGGTGTTAATAAAAGGGTTGCGGAGTTATGAAGGGTTAAAATAGAAAGGGGAATTATAAAATGGCCGCCATCGAGTACATCTACTTACATTACATTTAATTCATATAAACAGTTTGTTTTCCTTGACAGTTTTCTTCTTTAGCAACATCATTAATATTATGTGAGGTTATCTCTTGTGATGGGCACGTATGGTGCCCACTTTAGAATATTCAACATGAAAATGTGCAACATCATTAACGCACTGGTTGCCTTTTCACAAAAACACAACTAAACTCTTGAATGTCACCGAAATTAATGGAAAAATATCTAAAAAGATGTTTGCGTTAGTAACGGTCATCAGTAGCACGACTACCGGTGTTCAACTGGTTGCGTTTTCATGCTCCAAAAGTCGAAATAGATCATTGCCTTACAAAAGTCTCGGACAATGGTCATCATTGTAGGCTGAACGGGTACGAAATCACTATCAAAGCTGCGCCTGTCAATTGATTCTAAATGCTAGGGTTATAAACGACCAACCGCACACCGGGTTTTTTTGTGCAAACCTCGTTTTTGATGCTTTTGAGGCAAGCCGGAGGTCATAATTTACTTTTGGTCAACATGCAACTGCACAACTCACATTTTTCGATGCTTTGTGTCACGCAGCATCAGTGGGAGGGTTTTAAAGACAAGAATTGTGATAAATCTGTGAAGAGGTAAGAAAAACCGTACAAAACTTAACCTAGACATTGTATTATGTAATTTATGTGTATCACGTGTTGCCTATGTTAAAATTAACCTAAAACAATTGATATTTGACAATTTCGTTTATAACGTTTGCTGTTTTAACTTTTTAACGAAAAGTTGTGGATAATACCACTCATAAAACGTGAAAGTTTCTTCGAAACTGTTAAAAACGTGATTTCTGCTTGTAAAACTAAAAATTTACACCCGCCAATAGACAATAAAAAAATAACCAGGTCACAAATTTATACATTGGTTAATAAAATGTAAATTTTGCAAAATTTTCAGGCAATAGACCCAAAAATACGAAAGTTGTGCAAAAGTGCAGTGATAAAATTGCACAATATAACATTTTATGCACTGGTTCGGTAAACGTTTGGAATATTTTCTACCTGCGCCAACAATTCGTGTCGCTTTGTGCAGATTGTCTGCTCCATTTACAAGCCGACAATTACCACTCCACTAAAATTCCACAATTTGCATATTTACGTTTTGGAAATGGTGCTCCGGTTCGGTTTCTTTGGCTTCTTTAGATTCCTTTGACCTACGCAGCTCGCAATTGTGTGTTTTCGGGTGTGCGGTGCGCGTTTCTACGAAACAAATCATAATTTACAACCCGACACAAGTCGCAAACTTTTTCCTCCAGCGTCTGGAATTTGCATAACACATGCACGTTTACAACGGATTGCTCTAGTTGTGGCGTTATGGTCTGTTATAACAAAATAAAACCAAAAATTTCGAATTTTCAAAATTTCTTCTAAACATCGAGAAATCAAAAAATTTCAGCGGAAGTTTAAATTTTTTTTATTCAACTTGTAGTTGAGAATTTTTAATACGATTATATCAGGTGATATTTTAAGTTTTTGCACCTTTAGACATTTTTTTACAATAGTTGCGCTGGCGAAAAGCCCAACCGTAATAAATTTGTTGCTTCAGGTTGAGTTTTGTGCTCGATCACTAATCGAGTCAAATCAAATATGGTCAATAGTCGACCTCAGAACAAATTCCCATCATTATACAGAGTGTTTATAAAAATTCACAGCGAAAAAATACATTTAAACACATTTTGGACATATTTAAACATTTAGTATAATCATTGATGGATTATATTCAATAAGTCGTCCTTTTAATAAATAATCTCCGCTTGTGAGTGGGAAGTTTTTCTGTTTTTCTATGGATCTATGAATATAATAGAAATTTGTTGTGTTTTTTTTCTCTCCGCTTCGTAGATATTTTTTCGGTTTGTATTGTTGTGCATTGCGCCCAGGTCGAAATCGACTCTTTCTGGACCTTCCTGGGTGGATGTAGGTAGAGTTACGTAAAAATATATCGAGTGCCATTTCTCTACGCTTCGTCTTCTATTATTATTTGCGTCTTGCGTGTGGGTATTGTGCAAAATTTTGACGTTTTCCAAGAAATTGGTTGCTCTTTTCTCAAATGAACACAAAATACAAAAAAGAAATAAAAAAATATTTTGAGGTTAGAATATGTTTAATTTGATTGTTTTTTGATTGCGGAAGCGTTAAAATCGAAAAAATTTCGCTTAGGAAGTGAATCCCTGGAGTGTCATTCAAAAACGTTTACGGACGCACGTTTTCAACACTCCAAAACGTTGGAAACTGTTAACGATTCGAAATCCGAAAAATATCGAAACACATCCGACATTAACGAAAAATTCAACACACATGTTGTTCATCGATGACTTGCCACTTCCAATTTATTTTTACTTAGTTTAGATTTTTTTGAGTTTGAGTTTGAGAGAAATTTAATATTATTTTCCACGTAAAACGCTCGTTGTTGTGGCGGTAATTTTGATTCTGCTGAGGAGAGTATATTAGAAATATTCAGCTTACAATTCCTTTCTTGCACTTTCTGTGAGGCTGACTTTGTCGTTTTTTAATACCTACGCGTCTCTCCCGAAAAAATCTCTGGAGCGCACCGAGGGGTGAGTTTATGATTCGGCAGGTAGTACACGCGCCTGAACATCAACGCTGTGTCTTTTCTCCTCCTGCGAAGGAAACTTGCTTATTTGTGCTGTGTGTGTGTGGAACGGAACGTCTTCTGCTTCGTCGACCATCTCTCGC